TAGGTTTAGCTCCACTCCGCGAATAGTATTTTAGCAATGGAAACAAGAAACAAGCAAAGAAAAATCGACAGATAAATACGCGACAAATGAGCAAATTAGATGAACAAAGTAGAAATGAAAAATCCTAAAAGCGTTCGCGTTTACCCAGGTTAAAATAGAAAACTATTGTTGTTCATGTTGCTTTTCCGATGGTTGTTTTAGGCCCTTCCGGAAATCCTCCGTTTCAATAACGCATGATTAAATGGCTGCAAAAAATGGTGGTCACCCCATCTACGTATAAGGGCATCTATCAGATACGATGAATATATGAAGTTCATATATTTTGAACTGCGGTTATAGATACGTATGATGCACGATCCTCGCAGTGGAGAGCGCTGATTTTCGCTATTGCATAAATAGCACTCTCTACTGCGAGGATCGTGCATAATACGTATCTATAACCGCAGTTCAAAATGTATGAACTTCATATATTCATCGTATCTGATATATCATTATGGGTTTATTACGAATTAACTTAACGGCCTGCTCCCAGCTGGCTTGTTAGCTCAATTGGTAGAGCGCTGCACTAGTATCGCAGAGGTCAGTGGTTCGAATCCCGTACAGGCCTGATTTTTTTCATGTCTAATTTTCGCTATTGCATAAATAGCGCTCTCTACTGCGAGGATCGTGCATCATACGTAAGGGCATCTTCATTTATTAGATACCACTTTTTAACGACTTCGCAACCGGATCATTTAATCCTTAAATGATCTAGGCACCTCATCCTTACCAGGAAACCCTTTTGATAACTAATTTTTACAAGAATAACGTCGATTTATCCGCCATCAAAACTTTTATTTAGCTGCCAGTTGGTGTGCGGCCTAAGATTGCTGTATGTGCTGGGACAACTGTCCTTTTTAGGCTGGTCACCTTGTTATCTACTTGTCATTCTAATGATATTCATAGACTACATCATTTCTTCGCCAATCATTGCTCTATTTTTTGGGTTAGCAATAACTCTTGCATCATTAGAACTATCATCATCATTCTTATTGCCTTTATGGTGATAACTTATCTAAATCTAGATCTTACATGTATGTAATCTCAAAAACTGTAGTCTAAAGGGTGTTAGTATTTAATGTTTTCCAAGATAAATAATCAGTGCACTCTATCATATGACTTAGGTTTCTGGTCGATATAACTCATACTCTGATTGCCTAAGATGCGATAGCAAAGCAAAGCATTACCCTCGTGTGAGGCTCACGGCCAGATCACGAATTACAATATATATAATACAATAAGAAATCAATACAGAAAGATAACGAAAAATCTTTCCAGGACTGAAGTTTAATTCTTTTTTTATTCAAGAATACATTCAAGCTCGTATCCTTAACGACTCTAAAAGGTTCATCACCACCGTCGAGATTCAAACTCCTGTTCAATCCCGGAATGGAAACCTAAGATAGTAAATCCCGGAGATATTTATCATATCTAACTTGAACTTTATTTTAAAAGTCGACAATTTATTGACACGAGAGATAAGGTCGTAGACAAATCAATAAGTAGATTGAAGAAAACTTGCCTCTCAAGAACTTCCCATTTTTGGGAAAAATTCAAAAGAGGGGTTATCAAAGCATATGGAAAAAAAACTTAATGAAAATACCACATCCGTTTTCTTTCCCTTTGCATCTCTCCGTTTTAGCATCTACTTCTTACTTATGCAGTTAGGACTTGAGCCATACCTTAACCTGCTTGAGCATGATTAGTTCCATCTAAACTAAAAATATTCTCACCAATTCATTGTTTTTTAGCCAGCTTAAGTCTCATGAAATAAAACAAATTCTCTGCCTGTTTAAACCCATTTCGTCACGCTTCGACTCGCAATCGATCTTTTGCTGTCTTGAATACATATACATTTTTAAACATTGCTTAAAATATGCGAATATTGTTGTGGGGTTATTTTTGCATGGTAGTGCAGTAGAAATAACAAAAAAAATTGACTAAGAAAGTTGTAATTAAGGCTTGCTTCCGTTACAGTTTCTATAGTTATCCGTGGTACTAGATCATAAACTGTTTTTGTGAGTAAACTAATGATTTTTAAATACACACGTTCCTTTGAGTGTCTCCAAAACAGGTCACAAAAGGAATTGGTGTGCGTATTTTCAAATTACATCGATCTATGTCCCTATGGATAGTACCTTTTCCTATTAAGGCGATATGTACAAAAACACCATTCCTCTCTGGATCTTTCATGCCTCGGAGTAACTGAAATCAAGTCTTTCGTAAACGTTGTGATGTACGTCACTTAGAGCGAGGTAGTACGTATTGTTGTCCGACGGAAAACCATTCCTGTCAGATAGTTTTGAAACATCGATCTCCATATAGACAGGCTCATCGACCTCGGGGTTATCTTTAGCAACTTCGAATACAGGATTGCGATATCCCATGTCAATACCCCGGCTTGGGGTTGCTCTGCGCTTGGCTCTTTAAAGAAAACAGAATGAGTATCGTTACTGTTAGACTCAGGAGTACCCTTGAGTTTCACCCAAATTTGCTGCGTTTCACTCTACTTTTCTTGACCACGGATAACCATTATTGTCAACAATGAAAACTGAAAGCTTTTTGTTGATGTTTACATAAATATCCGCAGAAACGTTTTGGATTTTTGCGATTTTAAACTTTTGGCTTTTGAGCAAGCAGCTTTCCAGCAAAGGCTCAATCGGTAAAGGCCTAATTGTCATCAGCAATATCCATTTTCAGAGCTAGACTTCCTATGAAAGTTAGACGGCGAAAACGAGTTTGCAACTTTCAGAATACAATGTAGAACAAGTTTGTTAGTAAAAACTGTGCGGTGAAGACCACTATTCCGACATAGCAAAACAAACTCACCGACAATATTTCTTTGCGCAGAAGATGGTCATGATAATCAGGAAAATAATAAACACTAGAGATCCTGCTGCAACACTTGAATAAAGAATTACGGGCTTTAAGCCGTGTTCTTTATCAGTACTGGACATACTTGGAATTTCTAAGAAAAAAAAAGTGTAGATCGCTAGGAATCAGATAAACAAGCTCATGGTGTAATGAAAAAGGAAGCAAAAAACAACAAAAATAACAAAAAAAAACAACAACAAGAAAATGATGCGAAAGCTAATAAAAATGTAGAAAATCTCTTGAATATGGTTGTTACCTTGGCAGTTCTCTCGCCGTTTGGATCCTATTTTTCCAAAGGTTACTCTGCCAGGTGGACACAACATACAGGAGCTTTCTGCTTCTTGGTCCTGGTATTGGTCTGCTGGGCATGCGTGACAATCGGTGTTGTTAAAGTAAAACCCAAGTGGGCAGTTAACTTTAAAAAAGAATAATAAAAATAAATTCAATAAGCAAAGGGGCATTGAGTAATTAGTTTAAGAAATCATATGAAAGTGATACGTGATAATATTCCCATCCCACTGTCAGCACCATAAAACGGGTAGACGTGAATCTTCGAAAGAGGTCTTTAATCGGCTTTGAGTTGCCTCTTAATTGAAATTACACAATTTCCATTACATCTCAGCTATAATTAACATTCAGGCTCAATATATTCCACTTCACTTAATTCCCTACTAAATCCCCCAAATGATTTCTCTACCAGAAAAAATCACAATAAGTTCTTTAAAAGCATTTAATGTATTTGTCATACGGCTAATTATTAGACTCGTTCGCACAAAGATATGTTAGTAAGCCTAAACAACTAACTTCTTACCACACTGTGTCCCTCTTTGCACTTGTCCTTTGCCACAAACAAGACTTACAAGGCGAAGCTGCGGTGGTCTCGAGGTGTCATACTCTATGACAATTCCACTGATATTCAGATTCAGGTCAGTTTCGTTTAAAGTTGATAATAAGTTATTGGACAGTAGTTCGGCAGTTTGATTCAGGTCAACCAAGGAAGCGTTGGTTGGAAGAGGAACTTTCAAGGCAAAACGCACCGTAAGAGGAACATTGGGCGTTTCTCTTCTCCTACGCGTCCCTGTTTTTCCACATTCTACTTCGACATTATCGATGGTGCATTGACCATCACAGCCTCCAGCCATTCCAAAAGCTGAGTTTTGGAATAGCTCTATAAAGGTGCTGGCTATAACTTCGTTCACTGATTCGTCGCCGCACTCATCAACTAGATAATGGAGGTTTCCATTCACTATGGCCTCTTTCGGCATGTACGTCTCTGAAATAAAAGTTTCAAAATGGTCAGAGTTGCAATGACAGTTACAGCAAGATCCGGTTAGGTGGACACCTATATTATTGTGCATGTATGATTGGCTGGACTCGGCAAATTTTACATAATAAGTAAAAAGGAATAGTTGCTAGGGTTCATCAGTAAGCAAAAACAACTATGACTGATAAAAAAGTTGAATAATCTACCTTCGACGCTGTGAACTCTCCCTGCCTGTTAATGAGGTGACCGCATTAAAGAGGGTCGTGTGTAACTTGCAAGTTTTTCTCTTTTTTCACTTCTATGTATGGTTAGGTTTAACCTTTTATTTTACGACTACCTTTCATCACACATGCTTATTCGATATGCCTAAACGAGAGTCAGAAAAGTTCAGCACTGGCAATGTAACTTTCAAATATACCTTATAAACGTCTAAGCTATGATAAATTTATAAAGTAACATCAGCTGAAAGCTTTCAACATAGCGCTTTCCTGCATCTGTCACGGAAAAAAAAGCTTACTATAACGACTTCATGCTTTTCGGGTAAACTGTTTTAGCATAAAAACAGCAATACGAATGAGAAATATGACACAGTCATTCCATACTTGAGCAGTCTGGAAACTTACGTGCTCTTTGGCCATTTTCATATGCGTTCACCCATGTTCCACCTGGAGCACAGAAATACACGTCTTCCGGTTGATTAACGAACCCATAGCCTTTATTGCAATGCACGGTGCACGACACCCCGGCCAGCCACGTCTCGCAAGCTTTGGCATCATTTTCAGGTGGTGCTAAGTCAGGGCATGATTCATCTAATGCAGAGAATAAAAAATTGACAATTTAAAAAAAAAACACATCAGTAAAGCGATAGGGCAATTTGTATAGCAGATTAGCAATACCTAACGTTATGATGTCGATATGTAAAAGAAAAGGCAAAATGTTCTAAGTTAACGTTTGTTGTTAGCTATCGTTCAACTTTTCTGTATGCCTTTGCATAAGATGTGGAGACACACACTCATTATGGCTCCATTAGGCCGGGAAAGAGACGCACAGCAATTTTTAGTCCAATATATATAAAAATAATAAAAGATTGCTGAAAAGAAAGGCCAAAATTAAGACCTGACCTTTAGTTTCTCCGATCAAAACAATTTGTTCTCTTCAATGCTTTGAGCTCTCTCTTGTTACACTGATGCAGGTGCTGACTCAGTAGTTTTCCTTGACTGTTGGTAATTTTGTTTTACAAACGTAATCGAAATGTACTGAAGCATATTATTTTCTAGCAGCATTAACAATCGCCTTCGGAAACTCTTGCAAATCATTTCTCTCGTTTTATCGAGCAATGGAAGTACATGAAATGGCGCACAAAACGATCATCGTCCCCAAAGTCATTTTAGAATGAATCTGGATTGAAACTTTGGCTGTAAGAACACCATTTACTTAAATGATAAACTGACTCTGCGTACATTGAATTGGTAACTACTATATTGCAGTATTTCATTCTTAGCCTCAGATTTCAGATTAGTTTGCTGAATATCGGTCGGCTCATATACAGAATCATCTCTTTTTTGCAGGCTTTTCTATAAACTAATCGAAAACTCATGGGGGCACAGGATGTTTTTTTTTTTTGTCCCACGCTCATGACGAGACAAAAAAGACATTTCTCTATTTGCATTTTCTGGGGAGCTACCTATTCACTGTCTTCTTCCATTAATCTACATGTACTTACCGGTAATAATAACTTTGAAATTGCATTCGGCAACATTTCCTGCTTTATCTGTGACAGTAAAAGTTACATGGTGCTCGCCCCAGGTGAACTCGCTTCCATTTGGTCTGCTGGGTATAATGGAGAAGACGCCCACATTATCCGATGTAGCGAGTCCAGGAAAAAAGATCATATTATCTTTGTTTCCAGTCGAAAGGAAGATATCGTCAGGGCAAGAAATGACCGGAGGCTCCACATCTTTTTTCGGTGCGCGGAAAAATAGACAAAAAATGAATACATGAACAAACTGGTGAACCAGTTAAACAAATGAATACAAAATTAAATAAATAGATGAGTGATTAGATGAGTGAGTAATAAGAAGTATGAAAGGTCTACAACTGAGACCAAACCAAAAGCTTGATTTCTTTTTTTTTTGCATTTCTGGACGACACGTATGCATTTTTTCTGTTTTAGCGATAGATTTTCTAATTCGAACCAAATGTCTTAGTCAGTGAAAAATTCAATTTAAAGTATATTGTGAACTTTGGTCTCTTCTCCTTCACCTTGTAAGAGTGCTTGTGATACGAAGATGACTGGGACTCAAAGACTCACTTCTAGCTATGTTTGTTTTAATAAATTTCTCTTTGCTTTCCTTGAACTCTTTGTGCATGTACAGTCTAATTTTTCTTACTTTGGTTCTGCTGAAGTCAACTTTTATTACTTTTAAAAGACTGTTCTAGTTTCAAAATGGGGCTCTATCAACTCAATTATAGCTCTAGACAAAGAGGCAAGTAAGCACCTTTGACGTGAATAGAAAATGTACAGCTTGTTGACAACCCAGCGCTGTCTGTAACTTCATATCTAACATAATCTCTGCCAGCATAGAACAGTTGTGGAGGGCGCAGACCTTTGAGACTTAATGACATGTTGGAGTTGTCGGAGGGAACTGGTATCTCCCACGTCACTATTGCATATGCTTGGCCAGTTTCTGTGGGTAGCTCTTGGTTAGGTGGGCATTGGATGCTGGGGGGTTGAACGTCTATGGTATTTAAAAAAATAAAATACACAATTTTTAAGGAATAAAGAACGCAAGCTGTAGTGATACACATAGATTATCGATTAAATAGCAAATACACATATCGACGCCTTGCCTTAATCTTTAGCTAACTAACTGCCTGAAGATGTATCATTTGGTATGAATTACAAATATGTATATGTCTGCATGTTGTACCCTTGCAAATCGTCTTTGTAGCATCTGCACTCCACGATCCACTTTCAAGGCAAGACACTGTACTTTCACCTTCCAGCTGGTAACCAGGTGTATTGCCGCATGATAAGAAGCAGTGGGTTTCATAAGGAACACCAGAAGCTGATCTGCACTGATTTGGAGAAACGGCTCCATGAGATGGAGGCTTGATAGCTTGGCATTTCACAACTATAGATCAAAACTCGTGTGATTAACCTCCTGATTTTGATGAAGCTGTTAGTGTACCTTAAACTGAAACGTGTTTTGGAAACATCCAATTTACCTTTCAACTGAAAACAAGGCCTAATTATATAATAGTTGCAAAGTAATGATTTACAATTATTTAAAATATTAAAAGACTACTGACTCGCATCGCTATCTCAATCACATCCTAAAATATCCTTTAGAAAATTGCTCCGTAAACGCTTCTTAAATATTGATTCGTTGCTAGAAAGTTTTAAATTCGATTCCAAGGAATTCCAGAAAGTTCTCTGTCCAGGAGCAACTTTAAAAAGAGGGACATTTAACAATTGCGAACTCCTGGTTATGTATCTATTTACATCGCAACGTTTAGTTTAAAAAGTGCTTAGGTATTCAGGGGCGCGGCCATACATACATCTAAAAGCTTCTAAAACATTTCGATAGTAGAGCTTACTGGATACTGGAGGTCACCTAAGGCGTTGAAGTTCAGGCGTAACATGGTCATATTTCCAAATTCCACTTACTATTCTTTATACTGATTGGAGTTAATCGATATTTGACTTTTAGCAGTTGACCCACACGTTTTGAACGATAAAACAATTTACTAAACACTAAGGTATTCATACCTATGTGAAGGTAAATCTACCCAGATTCTTCTTTTTCCCACTTTTTAGATCAGATAACGCGTAGAAACCGATTGATTACGACGGGCTACGAGACACCTCATGTTAAAAGGAATTACGTCACTTGCCCTTGAATAACGAAAGCTTTACGTGTTTTGCGAAATATATGGCTTATCAAAACCTTTAGGTAAAATGTAAAACAGCGTTAATATGTTTTGACAAATTGTTCCTAGCCTTACAGCAACTCTTATTTCAGTCTAGCAAAGTTTAGCTTTACACAAACCTTACACTGAACGTAAATCTGGCGCTTAAGCTTTACGATACCTGTACGAGAGCGTTATGTCCGATTACGTAAATATACCTTTACGCGTCTTTACGAACCAGCGCAAAGTTACGTAACGAAGTTTACGCATATTTACGCAACTTTAATTTTGCGTAAATCTCCTTTTTCATGCTGTGTCTTTTCAAGTTGACTCCGAACCAAAAGAAAGGGTAATGTTTGTTAGTAATGGCTTTTCGTATAATTGCCAAATGCCTGACTGTTTAAACTGCGGAGCCAATTTCAATATTATGAATAACTTATGAAGGTGTTGGATACCTGCACTGGGAGGAAAACTAAATAATTAGGAATCGAGAGGCTGACTCAGAAAATAACATACAGGTATTCTTACCGTTACATGTAGTGATGTTTCCTGACCAGGAGCCGTCTTTTTCGCAAAAGCGTTCACGAGATCCGAATAATTGATGTCCCCTGTCACAAGTAAAATTAGCCTGGGAACCAAACGAGAAGCCACAGGAAAGGCTTAAATTTCCATGTGATGGTGGCTGCAGTTTGATGCAATATTTCCCTGTGAAGATAAAGCGTTTTCTAACTTAAACTGACGTAAATCGAAGTTTTATAATGTGTGGTGTACCCTAGTATTAACCTTTTTAATTTCAAAAGAGACTATCAATCTACTTGGAAACAATTTTGCTTAGAATAGTTCAGAAGATAAATGTAACAAAAACGCTACAACAATGAAAACTATCTGCTACAAATATAAGAAAATATACAAACATTTGTCGAAATCTGTGAAGAGATGAAAATTTGCATCACATGTGTAGTGCGAATCTTATTTTGGAAACATGCTTAACCCATTAATCTATTTAGATCCTCGTGGCGAGTAACGGCTAACACTACAGGTTCATTTATAAAACACAGTTTTTCTAATGGAAAACTCAATCTTCTTTATATTACTATGACATACTTCCAACTTGCACCACAAAGGTGCAGTTAGCTCTGTTTCCTTGGGCGTCTGAAGCTGAATACATCATATGATAGAGACCAATGCTCAATTGAGCTGATGGTCGAATGGATGGAAAAGTTGCAATTATGTGACCAGAATTATCATCAGCAATTGGTTCATTCCACCCCACTAGAGCAATGGATGAGCATTCAGGAGTATAGACCATCATGTTCTTTGGACAAGTATTATTGAAAGAGGGAGGAGTTGTATCTGCAAAATAGAAAAACAATGGATAGGTTGGAATAGTAACACACACACACACACA